AAGGTCATCCCTCGTTTTAGAAGTCAAAACTGTGTTCCGAGGCATTAAAAACCTCTTTTTGTCTTACCTCGATTTGCGTGCGCAGTCCGGGCATATTTCCGGAAAGCTTTTATGTGAAATTTAAGAAAAATAATAAATTTAGCCTTTTAAATTGATTAAATTTGACTTTGGTCAATATTCTTGGTAAACGGACCCGGACCCGTGATCCGACGGTCCCGGAAGGTTACTAGTAAAATATCGGACTGGGCATATGCCCGAAATCGAATTCCGAGGTCCCTAGCCCGAGAAAAGAAATTTTAAAGAAAATTGTTTGCTGGAAAATATATAGGTTTCTAGAAGTGAAATGATGCATTTTCTTGATGGTACCGGACCCGTATCTTGGTTTCGGAGCCCAGTACAAGTTTAAAATAATAATTAAGTTAAATCTATGAAATTTGGTAAGAATCGGAATTGGTTTGGTATAAATCGGACCTATAGTTGAGAAAATGGAAATTTCAATGTTCTTGAGTAATTTCATGAATTTGAGGTTTAATTCGTAGTTATTGATGTTATTTTGATGATTTGATTGCACAAGCAAGTCCGTATGATGTTTTTAGACTTGTGTGTATGTTTGGTTTGGAGCCCCGAGGGCTCAGATGAGTTTTGGATAAGCCACGGAGTGAATTGGACTTACGAAAAATTGCAGCTGGTGTCTGGTATTATTGCCCAGGCCTCTGATCTCGCAATTGCGAGATCAGGCTTCGCAATTGCGAAGTGGTCAGGCTTGGGAAATGCGACCACAGTGTCACAAATGCGAACCAAGCCTGGGCAGGCCCTCTTCGCAAATGCGAACACTGGGCTTGGGAATTGCGGAGTCTCCCAAGTGCAAATCCGACATTCGTCTTCGCAATTGCGAAGATGACAGGATTCCAAAGGGTTCGCAATTGCAAACCCCTAGTCGCAATTGCGACATCTGAGACCTGTAAGTGGGATTTTTGACGGGATTCTTCTTCATTTTTACAACTTTTCAAAACCTAAACATCACATAGGCGATTTTCTTGAAGAGAGTTCATCCCCAAATCATAGGTAAACGATTTCTAACTTATTTTCTTCAATCTATAACATCTTTTTACATGATTTCACTTCAAAATCTAAGGTTTTTCATGGGAAATTGGGTGTTTTTTGGTAGAATTTAGGATTTTCAAATTTTGGGGATTTGGACCTCAATTTGAGGTCCGATATTAAAACTAATTACATATTTGAGTTCGTGAGTGAATGGGCAATCGGGTTTTGGTTCGAACTTCGAGTTTTGACCAAGCGGGTCCGGGGTCGATTTTTGACTTTTTAGGGAAAACAATGGGAAATGTATTTTCATGCATTAGAATTGGTTTATTTAGCACTTATTGATATCGTTAAGTAATTTGTGACTAGAAACAAGCGAATTGGAAGTGGAATCGAGAGGTAAAGCGGTAGTTGAGGCTTAATCTTGTTCGTGGAATCGAGGTAAGTGTTTGGCCTTGCCTTAGCTTTAGGGAATAGGAGTTGTGGTCTATTTGCTATGTGTTTGTATTGAGTACGACGTATAGGTGTGGTGACGAGTATCTATACGTTGGTGCCAAGCATGCCCGTGAGTCTTATACCATGATTGTTGTGACTCTATTATGTATCGATCATGCTCAAATTGATGATTATTAATGTTGAACAAAGCTTATTAAAGTTTCTTGGTAATTGACCATTGTTGAGTATTTACTCAAATTGAAGTTTCATTTTGTAAAGAATTTGTTGAAACGAGATTGGTTATAGCTGAATGATTCAGCCTGAATCCCGTGCCGGGACATATTATTTTCTGTTTTTTGGGTGAGGAAGAGTGTAAAGCACGAAGAGTGATGCCGTGCATGATATTGTGAGAGAGTGTAAAGCACGAAGGGTGATGCCGTGCCGATATTATGAGTGTTAATGCGCGAAGGGTGATGCCGTGCCATGATTTGAGAGATAATGCACGAAGGGTGATGCCGTGCAGATATTGTGAGGAATAATGCACGAAGGGTGATGTCGTGCCATGATTATGTGAGGTAATGCACGAAGGGTGATGTCCTGCCGTTTCTGTTGAATTATATGGTGAGGACGAGAGTAAAAGCACGAAGGGTTATTCCGTGCACGTGTTACCGTTTTATTATTCTTGCTGATTTATATATGATGTTCATTATGCTTCTTTATTGACGCTTCCTTATTGGTTTACTGTTGGAATCTGATATTCCCTGCAGCATGTCCCCTTCCTACCTTATTCTGTTGATTTCTGTTATTATGTTCTATTGTACATGATTTATCTGCACAGGTTTATATGATTGTCGTGTCCTAGCCTCGTCACTACTTCGCCAAGGTTAGGCTCGACACTTACTCAGTACATGGGTTCGGTTGTACTGATACTACACTCTGCACTCTTTTATGCAGATCTCGGTACCGGACCCGTTGACTAGTTGAGGTAGCTGCCTTCAGTCCAGGGAGACCAAGGTAGATCTGCTAGCGTCCGCAGAGCCTAAAGTCCCCCTTCCCTGTTTAGCTTTTCTACTATCTCTTATCATTCCGAGAACAGTTGTACTTTTCTTTCCAGACTTATATTTGTAGTAAGAATCTTAGTCATTCGTGAATTTGTGACACCAGATTCGTGGGTAGACATGTATTGGAGTATTTGGATTAATTTTAACTCTTCCACGTTTTTCATTTGGTTAGCTATAGTTACTGTTTATAATTGTTTGGATTGATTGTTAATGTGTAGAACCTTAATAGTTGGCTTTCCTAGCTTTCACGAGTAGGCGCCATCACGACTACCGAGGGTGGGAAATCCGGGTCGTGACACTATTATACTTGAAAAGAAAATGTTTATTTTTTTTAAACTGTGAACGAGCTGAGCATTATATTATTGAGTTATTCTTTGTGCTTCTTTAACTGTATTGTTATGAGATGTTACTGGATATTGGTGTGGACTCTGACCTTGGTACAAGCTCGTCACTACTTTCAACCTAAGGTTAGGTTTGTTACTTATTGAGTACATGGGGTCGGTTGTACTCATACTACACTTATGCACCTTGCGTGCAGATTTTGGATGTTGATGTTGATGTGCATGGTGGGAGTTAGCATTGAAGATGTACCTGCGATCCAGTCACAACTGCCTCTTGTTCTTGGTAGCTTTAGAATTTTTTATCTGTTCATGTATATTTCAAACAGATGATGTATTTTTATTTTTCACACCAGCTTTGTAAAATTCTAATCTTAGAAGCTCATCATTTGTACTACCAGTCATTGGAGAGTGTATTAGAGTCAATTAAATATTAATTGAATCAGATTGTTGTTATTTGGCTTACCTAACGGGTGAGGTTATGTGCCATCAAGGGTAGTCAGATTTTGGGTCGTGACACCTGCCAAGATGAACCCGTCTTGAAACTCGCTCTGATATCACTTGTTAGGACCGAAAAATCAGGTGTCATGTAGAAGCTAGTAAAGCAAACCTTGAACGACAATAAGTCCGACAACAAAAGAGAAATATACCAAAAGAGAGACAAACATTTAACGTGGTTCGGTCAACTGACCTACATCCACGGCGAAGATGAGCAATCCACTATATAAAAAGAGAGTACAAAATATCGAGAGAACCATGAAGAGGAAAACACAAATGACACACTAACACTTGTCCCGTAAAGTTCTCCCCCTAAACACGACTCTCAAATCCCATATGACCACATTGTGGATGCTACTGAATGAGAAGAAAGGATCCTCAATTTATAGAAAGTCCAAACATTTTCCTCCAAGAAAAAAGACTAGCCAAATATGAAAGATTTATAAATTTCCTTCTAGGAAAAGATAAACTCAATTATGATAAACATTTGCCCTTTCCTTCACGAGATAGAAAAACTAAATATGATAAGAAAATCCGAACAAACACCTGACAGGGGTAAGACGCAAGCCAAGCGATTGTCACCTCTAATTCTGTAATCTTTTTTGCTATATACCATATTTCATGTCACATTTCTTAGAAATAATAATACTATTGCATACTGCACCAGAATCATGATACCATAATAATAGCAATATATTCGGTGTGATCTCACAAGTAGAATCTGGAAAGATGAGCGTACAAAAACATTACCCATATATTGTGTGATGCAAGAAAAGCATTTTTAAAAAAGAATCACGGTGAGTTAATCTAAATAATCAAGTAGACTATTAGAGAGAAGTTGTTGTAACTAATGCATCCAGAGTGGCTGATGGTTTCTATTCTCCTTTCTCTTGCTCTGGGCGTTACTTAGTATTTTAATGTTGAAAAATAGTACTCTTTTCGGTTCATTTTTATTGATTTTTTGACCTTTTTTGTGGTCCATAATATTTGATTTTTTTAAATATCAAGGAGATAACTTTGTTTTCCAAAGTTGCTCTCGGAGTAAAGAGCCTAAGAGTATTTGTTATATTTTAATGAATAAATTAAGGTTAATATGATCAATTTTGTTGTTAATTAGTGTTAAAAGATAAATTTCTTAATATGTGAAAAGAGCAAAAAAAAAAAAAAGTCAATTAAAGTAAATCGAAAGTAAGAACTTTAATTTCATTAATATGCTTTGGATCCGTCATTTACTGCATGGTCCGTGGCAAAATATATTGCCACCTTGAGTTGACTTATAGTTCACATGAAATAATGTGATAGGCATACACTACTGACGAGAAGGAAGTGCTTCAGTTCTCACGTGCATCTTTAATAAACTTATTTTCGCAAAATAAAGGATCAGGTCAACACATTAATTTGGAGAATCTTACACAAAATAGCAAACTATTATAAAATGTATTTTTCCTTTTTAAGAAAGTGTGAGAGAGAAAACTATTTAAAATTATATAAACTTCATTATTTACTAGCGGAGGTGAGCCCAGGCAACTTGAACATTAAAAATGTTAATTAATATACTTTAAAAAAAACGGATTATAGTCCAACCGAGAGAGTAATATCACTACATGAGAGGTCTATAAATTACGCCCTTCAGAAGATAATAAAATGCTCATGCAGAAACTTTTACGAAGTGTAAAGTACTATTTTTTTTATAACATGATATTGCTTAAGTTTGGTTTCGTGCTCACCGTTCTTCTCATGACAATTACTAGTTAGTATATCTCTCTTTTATCTCTAATTCAAACTGATATAATTGTGCTTACAAATGCATGATGGAACATAGACGCTACATATTTCGTATATACACAAATATACATATGTTCCTATATATCCATGTTGTTTAAAAATGTTAGTTTTATTCATGTTATATTATTCATAATTTGATTTTGATGATTTTGATTGTAAAATATTTCAGTCAGCTTGCCATGGTTCTCAAATTCTAAAGTGGAGGCGATTCAGAATGTTGAACATGATCTCTCAAGACTCGAAAGGAGCCTAGTCCCTCGTCTTAATGGCTTTTTCACTTGTGGGAGAACTTGTGTAACTTCAAAAGAGTGCGAAGATTGCTGGATTTGTTGTACTTGTCGATTTGGTTATTGTGACACAGTTGCTCCGTAGAGTGCAAATTGCACATTATCGTCCAAATGCAACAAACTCTAGTACCATCCCCACTATGAATCTTTACTTTGGTGTGATTTCAGTGTTTCTTTCAATGTTTCATTGTCTTTTAGTCTTTGTACGAATAATGGAAAAGTTAATTGAACGACTTTCTATTTATTTAACAAAAATAAAGGATATCGACTTCAAAAGGTGATCACGTACACTAGTATTTTGAGACTTGCATCGCTCATCATATTCATGCATTTACTTGTTTATTTATCATCTATTAGCCTTCATTTTTTTTTTGATGTATTGTTTTCTTTCCAATTTATTTATGTCACGATCAGGGGCGGATATAGCCTACCGGCAATGGGTTCATCTGATCAATCCATACTTTTGTCACGATCCGGATTTTCCACCCTCGGGAGTCGTGATAGCGCCTACTAATGTGAGCTAGGCAAGCCAAACCTTTAACTACATACCTCATTATCCAATTATTTCTTTTTAACAATTATAAGGCGATCACGTGATAACAGTGAAAATTCAAATTTAAGCGGAAGACAACGATAAAATGTATGAAAACTGTATCTATTACAAATACTTAAGCCTTAACCACCCAAAACCTGGTGTAACAGACGGTCTAAGATTTACTACATACAAAGTCTGAAGAAAATATCAATACACTGCTTCTGAATATAAGGAAAATGAAACAGGAAATAAGGGATAGAGGAGACGCCACGGCCTGCGGACGCCTACAGGTCTACCTTGGATCTCCGCGTGGACTGAAGGTAGCCTCCAAACTACGGTCCGAAGTCAACAGCACTGAGATCTGCACAAAAGAGTGCAGAGTGTAGCATCAGCACAACCGACCCCATGTGCTGGTAAGTGCCTAGCCTAACCTCGGCGAGGTAGTGACGAGGCTAAACCAGACTGCCACATTGTGATGACCCAAAATGTCATCTTTAAATTAAATAATTATCTCGATATTTAAAGACCTTGAAAAGAGTTATTAATCATTCCTCGACTTGCGTGCGCAGTCTGTATAATTTTCTGGAGGGTTTTTATGTGAAAAATGGATTAAAATGTAAATTAGAGCTTTAAAACTCAACTGAGTTGACTTCGGTCAACATTTTGGATAAACGGACCCGGACCCGTGATTTGACGGTCCCGGAAGGTCCGGGGAAAAATATGGGACTTGGGCGTATGCCCGGAATCGAATTCCGAGGTTCCAAGCCCGAGAAATAAATTTTTGAAGAAAATTATTTTCTAGAAATTTCTATGAGATTTGAAAATGAATGGTGATTAGAGCTTGATGGTATAGGGCCCGTAGGTACAGGTCTTATATGTGATTTAAGATAAGTCTCTGAAGTTTGGTAAGAAACGGACTTGAAACGACCTGAATCGGATCGTTTTGAGAAAATTGGAAATTTGAAGTTTCCAGTTCGATAGTGAGATTTTGATCCGAGGGCCGGAATGGAATTCCGGAAGTTGGAGTAGCTTCGTAGTGTTGAATGTGACTTGTGTGCAAAATTTCAGGTCATTCGGATGAGGTTTGACAGATTTTTTGATCGAAAGTGTAATTTGAGAGTTTTTGGAATTCTTACGCTTGAATACGATGTAAAATTTGTGTTTTGATGTTGTCTTGAGCGTTCTGAAGATTGGAACAAGTTTGAATGATGTTCTAGGATTGGTTGGCATGTTTGGTTGAAGTCCTGGGGGCCTCGGGTGTGTTTCGGGGTGGTTTCGGATCATTTCGGGCTGTTTTGCAATAGTTGAAGCTGGTATCTGGTGTTGTTCTTCGCGTCCGCGAGGTCCTCTCGCATTCGCGAAGAAGGATTTGGCTTTTGGGATTTTGTTCTACGCGTTCACGAAGAGAGCCTCGCGTTCACGAAGAAGAAGAAATTCTGTTGCGCAGGTTTTAATTCGGAGGCTCATATCTCTCAATATACAATGCATTTTGAGATGATGCAAAACCAAAAGTTGTAGCTCTTTGAATCTAGTTTCCAGAAACATATTATAATAGTCATTTGGACATCTAAAGCAAAAGTTATGGCCATTATACTAGAGGCTCTCCGAGAAGAGTTTGGAAAATAATTTTTGAAAATTTTGTTCTTCACGAACGCGTGAGGAGGACCGCGAACGCGAAGAACAAATCCCTGGGCAGCACAATAAAGTCCAAACTCGTCTCACTCTTCCATTTTTGGACCAAGGGAGCTCGGGGTGAGGCAATTTTTCGAGAGATTTTCAAGGAAAACATCGGGGTAAGTGTTCTTAACTCAATTTTGATTAGATTACTCGAATCCATTGTTGTTTTTAACATTTAATTGGTGGTTTTAGTTGGTAAAATCTTGAAAACCCTCTTGGTTTAATTTGAAGATTTGAGGGTCGCGTTGATGTCGGATTTTGGTAAAATTTGTATAGTTAGACTCGTGGTTGAATGAGTTATCAGATTTTGTGAGTTTTGTCGGATTTTGAGACGTGGGCCCCACGGACGATTTTGAGTTAAATTTCGGACTTTTGTTGGAAAATTAGTATTTTCACATGGAATTAATTCGTACGATTTACATTGAGTATATTGAATTATTATGACTAGATTTGAAGCTTCGGACGAATTCGCGAGGCAAAGGCTTGTTGGAATTTTGAATTGGTTGCAAAGCGAGGTAAGTGTTTGGTCTAACCTTAGCTTGAGGGAGTAGGAGTTGTGTCATAATTGTTATGTGTTATTTGTTGAGTATGACGTATAGGCATGGTGACGAGTATCTATACGCTGGTGTCAAGCATGCCCGTGAATCTTATACTTTGATTAGTGTCCTATTTTACTTAACTAAAGAGTTTTGCCTCTCCTATTGTCACGTTATATTTTCCTAACTACTTGACTCGTGTTGATTTCCTTATTATTGACTTGTATATTGTGGGATCGTTGCTACGTGTTAGCTTTCCCGCTATTGAACTGTTCCCTTTATGCCAGTATTCTTTTTTGTGGTTATTCCTTTGAGCTGGTTCTACCATTTTCACGTGATTTACAGCCCATGAGTTGATTTACTTGTCTTACCTTGTATTATTGTCATTTATTCTTTTTATATGTATTGCGGTGATGTCCAGTCCTTCTGTTGTGATGTAACTATTGATTCTGTTGGTTGCGTTGTGTATTTATTTTTGGACTACGGATGTGGGATTCCGGTAGCTCCCCCTTGTTTGTTTACTTTGGGACTATGGGTTAGATTCCCGGGAGATCCCCCTGCACATTAATTTGGTACTACAGGTTAGATTCCCGGGAGATCCCCCTGCACAGTTATATGGAACAACGGGAATGCACCCGGTAGATTCCTCCAGTACTGGGTATTTACATTTGTGACTACGGATCGGGATTCCGGTAGATCCCCGCGCATTATGAGTTGGACTACGGGACTTCACCCGGGAGATCCACTGATATTTATATTTGGGGACTACAGGAAAGTATCTTGGGAGATCCCCGGTTGTTATCTTTGTGTTGAGCTGTACTCCTTCCGTGATTATTTTGTCTCCGTTGTAATTGTTGTTATAAATTCAAGTGTTTTAATGGTTTAGATTCCTTTACGGCTGTGATCCTTTGTGTGGGAATTCATAGTGTTGACAATACCTCGCCCTATTTGTTTCATATATATTCAATACTTCAAATTTCAACAACTGTTACATTTTTAACTCAATTGATATCTCAACTAAATTTTTCTTAAACCGTTTGCGGTTGTACTTTACTTAAGAAGGAATTTCTACTAAGTTAATTTATCAAATCCCTAGGTAAAAGTAATAATCCATTCGATGTTGTATTCTAATTGAAACATGGTACTTTATTTATTCAAATTATTTCTAAAAATAACTTCATCTTTTCGTGATGAGTTTCAAATGGGTTTAGAAGTTGTACTCTACTTCTTGTTTAGTAAATGAGGCTCCGTGAACATTCTTAAATTGTATTGGGTTATGGACCCTATGAACTGAGTAACCTGAGAACGTTGTTGCGCAATGTGAAACAGAAATCTGTGGGTACAAGGTGCCGGGGGAAATATATATTATTTATGATTATGAAATGAGGCGTCACAATGTGACCTTTACTCGAAAGAGTTATATTCGAAAGATGTTTGTTTGAAGGAAATATATTTGAAAGATATTTATAGTTGAAGGACTTGATTAATTGATTGCACTTGTATACATTATTTTTTGAGCAATATTTATGGTGTTTTTGTTGCCTGCTATTTATATCACTAGATGATCATTATTGTCATCATTGTTATCTGCTTCCTATTATTCTTGTACGCTATATTGCACAGGTTTATTTGGTAGTCTGGTCCTAGCCTCGTCACTACTTCGCCGAGGTTAGGCTAGGCACTTACCAGCACATGGGGTCGGTTGTGCTGATACTACACTCTGTACTCTTTTGTACAGATCCCAGTGTTGTAGACTTTGGACCGCAGTGAGATCTGTTGTTTCTTGTTCATCAGGCGACCCGAGGTAGTCCTGCAGGCGTCCGCAGGCCTTGGCGTCTCCTTCTATCTACTATTCCTGTTTCCTTCATGTATTTCCAGAGACAGTGCTGTATTTCTTTCTTTCAGACCTTTATTTGTAGTACTCTTAGACAGTCTGTGAAGTTGTGACACTAGTCTTGGATAGACTTTGTTATGGATTGGTATTAGCAGTATTAGGCAGAATAGCCTGGGAGATACTTGTACTTGTTCCGGTTTGTCATCCCGGTCCCTGCACTCCATAAAGTTTCTTCTAGACACTTCAACTTAATAAAAACAAGACTTTTAAACGCTTCTGACCGTTGACCGAGCTTATGTGGCATTGATATGGCTGAGGTGGACAAAATAAGTGATTTACACGCACATTAGGTGCGCGAGCTAATGATTTTTCTTTATTAAAAAAATAAAAATTAATAAATAAATAAATAAAAAACATTGTTCTTCCTCTTCAGCCCCTACCCCTTCGTTCTGCCCCCCCTCTTCTTCAGCCCCTTCCCCCTTCGTTCTGCCCCCCTCCCCCTCTTTTCTTCAATCCCTTCCCCCTTCGCTCACCCCTCCTTCTTCTTCAGTCCCTTCCCTCTTCATTCTGATCCCCCTGGCCCTTCTCCTCGTCTTCTTCACGAATAGTAAAATATAATCTCAAGTAGTGGAATTCTCAGTTTGTAAACAAGAAGCTATAAAGACGAGTTTAAGACAAAGGATTTAAGAAGTGT